TTTTTTTGTCTTTTACTAGGGAGAATCTGCATCCTTGACCGATACGTACGGTCTCATGATTGGCCTTCCATTGTCAACTGCAATTTTACTCAAGAAGCAAATGCAATATCGATATTCTCATGGGATAGGTTAGTTCGTACATCACGAAACAGTCCCCATTGTACGATCAGGACATTACTTGAACTTTGTTCATCTGAAATTCAGTTTCTTATATGTTACGATTTATTTCCAACTTTTCAGTCTGTTGTCTTTGTGTATTCTTATACGTAAAAATTAATCGTACTTGATTCTGCATAAGTTCTTCGTTCTTTATTTTTTTTTTTCACTAAATCTTCGTATTGTCATGGCCCAGAATATCATTGGACTTACATGAGGTCAGACGATGAAGGTTTAGAAGAAATTCGGCGGCTCTCTGAGGCCGGGAAGCTGAAAGTGCCAGTTGAGAAGACTTTTCCCATTGCACAGGTTAGAGAGGCCCACGAGGCTAAGGACAAGAGACTCGTTTTCGGTAAAGTTGTTCTAGAACTTGATTAAACTTTATACCTAAATTGAAATTTCTATCGTAAAAAAATGTGGTGCTCGAGCATCTCACTGGTGAATTTGTGGAAATCATCGGCCCTCAAGAGTCCAACTGTGAAATGGTGAAGCATCTCGAAGGTTTCTAAGAGCTGTAATGGCAGTGTGTACATTCTTAGAGCAACTTGAATTTTGTAGTTTTAGTTATGTATGATTTTGGGAAAGATAATCTTTGTCGATATATTTGTTGATGAGAATTTGTCGATTTCATTTCCCTTGATGTTTAATAATAGGAGGGCGTCAGATGGTTTTATGTTTATTAACTTTTTTCGGTCATATAATTGAATTATGATGATTTCGTGTAGTTGGTGCTTGATTGTAAGAACTAAATAGAACTGGATATCAATCTGAATTTGTTGACGGGTCGATCTATCCAACGGTTAGACTGCATTATACAGATATTTTAGACTGTCTCACACAAATATTTTTGATAATTGTTGTATTTTTTAGACTAATGCTTCACGCATTCTCAAAACCAACCAGGAAAAATGATATATATAAATAAATAAAAAGGAACTGTGCGCCTTCCTTATCTTTGGAGGGAGGCAATACATTTAGTGGGCTCAAAGCCCAGTTACCATCATTACTAACCAAACCCAATAGTTGACGACTTTCCACCTAACCATTAAAAGCCCTCCAAAAGAAAAGAAAATCACTTTCCAATACATCAAAACCCATAATGAATGAATGAAGAAAGAATCAACTTTCTTTACCTTTTTTTTCACCACTATATATCTCAACTTAACAAGGAAAAAAAGACACCCTTTTTAAATATTCATTCATGTTCCCATAATGTGGTTTTGCTTTTTTGCTCTTTAACACACCATATGACCTTTTTGTCATGTTATTATGGTCCGGTCTTTGGTCAAAGCCCTCTTCTCCAAGTAATCAATTTGACCGGTCCACCCATCATTATCTAGCTCATTAATTTGCTTGGTTGTCTTCTACTAAACCTAATTAATTCACAAATTCAGACCATCTAATCGTTAGGCTTGTCGATCCATCATATTTTTGTAAAAAAAATGCATATTTATATTATGAAATGACGTGCGTTTATTTATGTTATTTTTTACTAAAACATGACATTTCAGTGTGAAGTAGTATGCACATCTATTGAAAGTATATGATTCAATTGATTGTAGATTTACAGGTAATTAAAATTTATTTTTTATCTTACCTTGTTTTCTCTATGTGCCTAAATGCATATCACTTGAGAGTAAAAATGATAAATATTTTATATAGAACATAAATACAAATGGGCTAGTTTAACGTGTTCATGAGATTCTTGTACTTTTGTTATTATAAATTGTAAATATAGCTTCTGTTAGCTATATTTTAATAAATTATATATTTATAGTCAAAGTACTTAGTTATTGTAAATTGCAAATTTAGATTATACTCGAGCAAGATATCGAGCACTCGAGTTTATAAAGTGCTTGGGTTCGATATTAATGAACACTCGAACATATAACATATAAAGTTCGAATTCGAATATGAGATGCTCGAGCTCGATTAGATACAAAACAATCAAAGGTTTAAATAATCAGACGAAAATGGGATCTCACTAATATGGCACCCAAATTGGCAAATTCCATTTCCAGCAAACAAAAAAATTCCCATATTGCACGAAGCTACGCGCTGCGTTCGCGCGTGATTCATTTCTATTTGAGAGGGCCAGCCAGCCAGGCAGCCAGTTTTCCGAAATCAAAGACGTCCAACCCCATGTAATGCAACGGAGACCAACTCTCGGCTCTCAGCGCGTGGATATGAAACGATCGGTGATCTTTGCTGGGGTGTCGCGCACTAATATGTTGGCGCGTGAGAGGAGTCGTTGTCTTTTCTGCTGGTAGTGCACTGAGAACTCTGTCACGTGCTTCTTGGATTCTTGTGCTGCAGCATGTGATTCATGGATTCGTAGAAAGCCCCCACTTTTTGAAGATAATAACATAAATGCCATTTCTTGTCGTTTTTTACTGTGTAACGGCTCGATATTTGCTGTCACCCCTCTCATTGAAAATGAGAAATGTCACAAGTCTTACGTGACTGTTAGGTGATACTAGCGAATGCCTAATTATATTGGTCGATATCGTAATTTATAAATTGTTTCCTAAGTATTTAAGTAATGATTCATATTCATAATAATGCCATTATGTAAACCTTATGTTGTCACTTAGTTTATAACTTATCACTTCTTGAAATGATCATGATATATTTAGTTTTCCAACATTAGCATTTTCGATTTTTCCCAATCTATTAACATCCAAACGAGCGCGACATATCGTCATCGATTTTTCACTCATAGATTAACAAGCATTCATACTATGTACATTATGGTCGTCGAACTTGCCTACATTGAGATAAAATATACATACTTATAGAAAATCCAATTTAATAATTAGTTACACCCAAAAGAATAACTTTGTATTTCTATTTATTTGATTAAAATAGAGTATGGTTGCCCATATTGGATGGGAAATTGATTGATGCATGATTTGATGATACTGTTAATGGATTCTCATATTATTATGTATATCAAACCATAAAGAGTACTATGATGATAGAAAAGGCCATATTTATCTAAGTGCGTGGGTCACCGCAAAAGAAAATATTCTTATTTTGTGTGCTTTCATGTCACTTTTTTTTGATTGGACCACTTTTTGTCTCATCGATTTAGCTAACCAAATTTCAATTGGATGATATATATATAGAGATATTTCACTAGCATGCTTTAACTGATTATAATATTTACTAAAATAATTTGTGTATTACTATAAGCTGATAATAATTGTTAATATATATGTTTGGGAGGTAAATAAATTTGCTTATAACTTATTTAGTTAGTTTACAAGTTTTTTGTAGGGCAATGCTATATGTACACTCCTTTTTAATAAATTACACAAAGGGCAATGTTATATGTACACCCCTTTTTTACACACAAGGGGGTGTACATATAGACACCCCCTTCTTGTATTCAAACAAGTCTTGTTTGTTATGATGAGTTTTTTTTTTTTTTTTAGCTTATTCGTTGATAAGCTTATTTGTATTCAAATAAGTCTTGTTTGTTAGGACGAGTATTTTTTTTAAAAATCTTGAGTTTATATGTTAATAAGCTTCTTTAGGTAGCTTTTCAAATAAATTAGTTAGAATTTTTTATTACAGCTAACTTATCAGCTAATTTTACCAAACATGTTTATTATATAAGCTAGTTTTTCAACAATAAGTCATGAGCTATGAGTTGTAAGTTCGAAAATTACTAATATGCTATCAGTTAACTTATCAGCTATAAGTTAGTTTAATTAACATCTAGGAATTTCACATTTGGTGTCACATAAAGTTACTTTCCGTACACGATAATACACGATGAAGTTATTTAAAAAATGATTTATAATTTTATAATATGCTTAATTTGTCATTCCACATAATTGCGGGTATTAGTGTAAAACTAACTCAACAGTGACCCAACAGTCTCTCTTTCACAGACACACAGTGGCAGCTCATCATCTTCTTCTATCTATATGCAGACACTGCAAAACAACCCCACCAAACTTTGATTTTTATCCCTACACAGTGATTTTTTCCTTTTTATCATCAATCACCCTTTCATCCATTTTCACCGCCATTCATCCATGCCCACAACAAAAAAACACCAGTAAAAAAACAAACAAGAACCCCCCACACACAAATAAAATTCAAGAAAATGGACTTATTAGATCACAATCACAAATCCCATTTTCGCACCACCACAAACACAGGCCACACCACCACCACCGCCGCCGCCGCGGCTAATGACCTTCTCATTTGCTTCGCAGCCCGCCCTTCATCCACCTCGTCATCCATGAAGCTCACCCGATCCCTCCTCAGTCCCGGCCGCGCCGCCCGCGACGCCGCCGCCGGTGCCGTTGCCGGGCCAGTCTCCCTATCCTCCTCCCTGAGCCGCCGCCTCCGCTCCAATGGCAGTCTCAAGGGCGGAGCGTCCCCCTTCCTAGCCGCCACTGGGAAGCGCCGCGCCGGCGGCTTCGAGAACCCGGAGCCCTCCTCCCCGAAGGTCACCTGCATTGGCCAGGTGAGGGTGAAGACTAAGAAGAAGAAGAAGGCGAACCAGACGACCCGGAGCCTCTCCAAGAGGCTGGGCGGTGAGATCAGCTTCCGGAAGGCGGAGCAGCTGGCCACGGCCGATGGAGGCGGCGGCGGGGACGCTTCGCAGGTTAGGTACTCGAACGCCGGGGGGCACTACCACAACCCGCCGTCGCAGGAGTGCCTGCCCCACCGGAACCAGAGGTGGGTCCACCTGCCGATCTCGATCTGCGACGCCCTGAGGGAATTCAGCTGCTTGTTCCCCTGCAAGAGCTCCTGCTTCTCCAGGGACCGGGCCGACGAGCGGTCTCGGGACGGGCCGGATGAGGGCGGTTGCCGGTCGGTCTTCGCGCGGTGGCTGGTCTCGGTAAACGACGGTGAGGGCGAGAGGAGGCAGGAGATCGAGCTTGTGGTAGGCGGTGGAGACGAGGAGGACACGGCGGCGGAGGCGACGGAGGAAGCTAGGGTTTCGATGAGGACCTCGAGGAGGCACGTGTTTGAGGATATCGAGGTTAGGGACGATAGGATTGAGATTAAGGGGCAGAGTTTGGAGGATGAAGGAGTTGAAAGGGGCAGGGTTAGCATCTGTATACCGCCTAAAAATGCGCTCTTGCTGATGAGGTGCAGATCTGATCCCATGAAAATGGCGTCCCTTGCCGGAAGGTTCAGTTGGGACCCACAAGGTGCTTGTAAGAATGACTCTGAGATGAATGAGGATGAAAAAATGGACGAGGTTCTTGAAAAGCAAGATGAAGTGCCAGCTTGTGAGGGGAAAGGTGAAGAAGTCTTCGAGGAAAAAGTTGATGTCTTGATCAGTAACAGTGAAGAACAAGAAGAGATTACGGATGAAGCAGGTGGTGGAGATATTTTGGGATTGTTCATGGAAGCTGAAACTTTTGTGGAAAATAAGGAAGATGAGTTGTTTGAAGAAAATTTGGAGGAAATGGCTGTAGAGAAGGGACGAGATGACGTTGAGTTGGTGGAGGATATTTTGTGTAATGATGAAATATTGATAGAAAATGATGATGAAGAGGAAGACGAAGAAGATGAAGAAGTTGAGTCTAATATGTCCTCATTCGAAGCTCTTTTAAACCATGAAAATATTGCAGAGCATTATGAAGATGGCTCGATCCTTCTAAACGAGGAAGAAGACCAAGAAGAAGAAGAAAGAGAAGAAGCGAATACTGAAATTGGCCAAAATCAGCCAATGCGGGAGCAAGAAGAAGCTTTAATGGAGGGTAAAATGGAAGAAAAAGAAGAAAATGAAGAGGAATTGGGCGCCAATGCAGACAAAGATCCAACCTTCGCAGACGAAGAAAGCGACGAAAATATGGCTGCACAGGTAAAGGATCTCGACCCGGTCACAGCCCGACACGAAAACAAAGAGGAAAATCCAGAAATGGAGAAGAAATCAGTGGCCCGAAAATCATTCGAGGAGTCCAAGAAAGACAAAGCAAGCCCGACGCTGCCTGAATGCCTGCTGCTAATGATGTGCGAGCCCAAGCTGTCGATGGAGGTTTCGAAGGAGACGTGGGTCTGCACCACGGACTTCATCCGGTGGCTGCCGGAGCGGCCGCGCAGGTCGGCGGTCAAGGCCGGCAAGCCAGCCGCCTCCGGCGAAGAGAGGAGGCTCAGTGCCGACTCCAGGCCCGCGGACGGCAAGCTTCCAGCAGCAGCCAACAGCGCGGAGCACCCCCGGCAGCCGCCGCGGTCGTCGTGCTCGCTGCCGGCGGCGGCCGCCGCGGCGTCGATGGCGGCGGTGATAGAGCAGAAGCTGGCGAGCGCGGTGGGGTACGAGCCGTTCGTGCTGACGAGGTGCAAGTCGGAGCCGATGAGGACGGCGGCGGCCAAGCTGATGCCGGAGTCGTGCTTCTGGAAGAACGCGGTGAGAAAGATGGAGCCGCACAGGCGTTCGGCGCTGGGAGTCGGCGCGGCTGGGGTTGGGTTCTGAGCCGAGCCGAGCCGTTGGTTGGCTGCTGAGCTGTCATAAAATAATGAATCATGCATGTGGTGGGGAATCTTTGGGGTCGAGTGCACAGTAACAGTACTTTTCGCTTCTAAGGCATGTTTTTTCCTGCGTGTGTAAATTCTTCT